ATAGCAAGAAAGACAAAAATTCATTAGTTCATGTGATGAAATACAAGAGTAATAAGGACCATTTCTTTTATGGAACCATTAATGATGAACATTACTTCACTTATTCTTGTAAAAATGATCCTTTCTCTGGAAATCATCCAACACATGTGATAATAGAAAATGGTAGAGGTAGTATTATGGCTTTAGCAACATTAAATGTGCTTTCTGAATATGATAGTGTTAAAAGCATAGAAACGATTGTTCGTGACAATACAAGTTCTAACACTGGCGTAGATAATGGTTTAGTTGTCAAATTAGAAAAACTTTTAAATCATACCATTTATTTAGTTGGATGTTTGCTTCTACCTCCTTGTCGTGTTATATCTGAAATAGATGGACAAACTAATGACCTTAAAAAATATAAAAACCCTATTGGCATAAAAAAGTCTAATATATTGATGCGTGAACAAACTTTGGTTCAGTTTATTCCTATAGATTCCGAGATTTATGTAAATCCCGATATTGTTTGAGATCTGTCAGATGAGTATTGTAATGGAATAGCTAAAGGTTCCATTTCTGTCAAGTATGCTAATAATAAACCTGGTCCTGTCTGTCATGCACGCTGGCTAACCCTTGCTTTAAGAATTATGACGGTTTATGCAAGAACTGAGATACCTACACATGATCTAAACTGGATCTCAAAGTACATAGTCCAAGTCTACTGTCCAATGTGGTTTGCAGTAAAAAGTTTAGCGCATTACAAAGATGCACCAAGGCTCCTTCATAAAAAAATACAGTCAGTCAAAAAACAGGATGACAGAATTAAAAAGATTGTATTGAAAAATCTTCAGGGTAACTTCTATTGCTACTGTCAAGAAAATTTTTTTTAAGCTATGCTGGTAGACGATAAAAAAGTTGTAAGAGATCGTGCTCTTAATCAAATCTTGGAGATAAGGTTATCCAGGGAAACAAATCCAGATTTTAAACCTAAAATCAAAGCTAACCCTAGCCAAAAATTCTTATAGGGTCTTATAGAAATCCTTTATGTCCTATAGGATCTATAGGATTGAAAGAAGATTTATATAGGTGTCCTATAGGTCCTACAGAACTCCTTTATGAATTATAGAATTAAACGAGCACATAAAATATTTTCCTATAGATCCTATAGGATCTATTGGATTGAATAAATTTCTCTATATTGGTATCCTATAGATCCTAAAGGAGTTCTATAGGTTTCCTACAAAAAACTATAGGAAACCTTTATCGATAATAGTAAGATCCTATAGATGCAAAGGACTTCTAATAGAATTACAGGATTCACATAGAAATAAACCAATATTATATAATATTGATTTATTTCTATGCGAATCCTGTAAATCTAGTCCTTTGGAAAAATGAACCCTTTAAAAAAAGTAGAAGTGCAAAATACATAAAAAAGCTATAGGAGTTATATTAAAAATTAACTTTATACAAAATGTAGTATAAATGTAGAAAAATAATTATTTTCCTACATAAGTAGGAAAATCATTTTCAATATAACTCCTGCAGATTTTTTTGTATAAAATTCTACTATTTGCGTTAATACCATAGGACATTAAAATTAATTCTAGTGGACTTATGAAATAGTTTTACTGTTTATCTATGGGAAATCTATAGCTGTTGAAAGTTAAATTATAAAATAAATAAAAATTGGATTGTAACTCAAATAAATTTACTTTATTTAATCAGTGCTTTTTTTTTTTACATTTTTGGCACTATTATTTAAAAAAAATTAACTTTAGCGTCAAACTTTACTTTTACTCATTTTTTTGTTATATTACCTACCGATGACTTTCGGTTCCTATAGATGAGTTCCGATGTTTTTTAAACTATACAAAAATGCACTATTACCGTTTGCGAAATCGCATTTTTAGAAACGCATCCTTTTTGCATGCATCATTTTCTTTTCGTAATCGTTTGTTATACAGCGTTGTTCTTGGAATTTTCTCATCTCCATTTCTTACAGGATTAAGATACCTTTACAAAATACAGAAAATAAATAAAAATTGATTTATTAATTTGATTGAAAAACTAAAACTGATAAAATAAAACTTACGCTATACGTTATTCATAAATATCTATATAATAATAAAGTTACGTACATTTACAATTTATATTACAACGCTGTAAAATCGCATAATGAGGTTTTTATATAATTTGTTTCCTAATATATAGATGCCTTTGCCGGGTGCTAGCTGAAAATACGTTTTTTTAAAACTCAATCATATACACGGAAAATAGCTAAATTTACCGGATCAAAATGGACTATACCGCTTCGCACCTTTGATAGGCTTTTATACGAAAAAAATAAATTAATTTGAAGTGATTTAATTGAACATACATTTTGTAACCTTTTACAAGAAGTTTGACAAATTGACATCTATTTCAAAAAAAGTATAAAAAATGTTACAAAGTGTAATATATGCGCTATCAATAGAAAATTGATAAATAATATTGTTTTTTTCATAATCATCAACTATATTGTTACATAGCTTAACTTGGGTTAGATTTTCCTTTCAATATAGTCTGTTAGTAAACAGAAAATGTAATAAATATTTTATGATAAACGTCATTACATCTAAACAAAAATTATTTAACCTAACTTAAATATAGAAAGTTTTATTTATTTTATATTAATTTTGTTTATAAATAATTTTTATATTATTCAACTTTAATCGTACTGTTAAAAACTAAACATTCGAGTAATTACCATTATAATCGCTACACGCTACAACCGAATCACTTAGGACAATTATTTGCAAACGTTCTTTTTGGATAATTGCTGATGATTGCTTTACCTGTGTACAAATATTCGTAAAATTCTTATTGGACAATAATAAATTACTGCAATGCTTAGAGATGAGGAATTTTCGCATAAGTGAACTAAAAGCCGCAGTCTCAAAAGTCATTAAGTTTAATGTTTTATACGGTAAAATACGAACAGTTTATATACGTTATATAGATAACTTTTCAAACAAAAGAGGTATGGTATTCTATGTAGGTATATTAATAATAGCATTAATATATATATATATATATATATATATACATATATATATATATATATATATATATATATATATATATATATATATATATATATATATATATATATATATATATATATATATATATATATAGATATATATATACACACACACACACACATATATATATATATATATATACATACATACAAGAATTAACATTATATATATATATATATATATACAAGTATTAACATTATATATATATATATATATATATATATATATATATATATATATATATATATATATATATATATATATATATATATATATATATTATTTTATAAACATCAATAAATACGATTTTCTCTCGATACTAAATTTATTTTTTATTTTTTAAAAGAAATTTTCGCTGGATTGTTGTGACCAGCGTCTTCAGCTTAAAAGATTTTGTTTGTTTTTGTTTATATGTTATTTTTAAACGGCAATTTTATTATATGTCAATGGAATGGTTTTGTCTTTTTCTGACGTAAGTGCATTAGAAATGGTGTCCAGAATTTTGTTGACACATATTGTCCCTCATCTAAATTTATACCACTTTGTTGAGGGGCACATTGGTGGTACTGTATTTCAAGCGCCTCACGAACTTTCCTATCAAACTTTTTGTTATTGACTTTTAGAGTTCTGCAACTGTCCCAGTTAATTTGTTGTGCACAATGTTTCATGTGTGTGACTAATGCTGATCTTTCTGTTTTATTTCCTATTGTACTGTTTTTGTGTTGTTGCATGCGTGTTTTTATTTGCATTTTTGTTTCACCAATATACTTTTTGTTACAATGGCACTTAATAAGGTAAACTGGGTGGCTGTTCCTTTGTAGTTTGGATTTATTTCTTGAAGTTAATATTGCTTCTAGGTTTAAGTTTAATTTAAAGACCGTTTTATATCCTGCCTTCCTAAACACTATACCCAAAGTAAAGTACACTTTGCGTAAAGTGTTTAGGAAGGCAGGATATAAAACGGTCTTTAAATCAAACTTAAACCTAGAAGCAATATTAACTTCAAGAAATAAATTGTGCACAACAAATTAACTGGGACAGTATATATATATATATATATATATATATATATATATATATATATATATATATATATATATATATATATATATATATATATATATATATATTGTTTTCAACAACTTAGTTTTCATAGCAAATCTGAGAGGTGCAAATGTTTAGCTTGTTTTAAGTACTAGGTATTTACATGTAAAACTGGGACAAAAAATCTTAAATTATACTTTTTAATGTATAATTTAAGATCTAGTTGAAGAATGAGACTAAAAATGAATACCTTACCATTTTTGAGGGTGCTGAATTAAAAAATGTAAAACAAATAGTGAAATTTAAATTTTATGATGGTTAACTTTTGATTCTAAAATGGTCAGTCCAATTTTTTGTTCTGTTACCATAGGTTGTGCTTTCATCAACTCCCGGAGTTGCCCAAGTCTCATGGATTCAATTTTTTTTTAAATGAAGTAGGTGATCCTAGGCTATCTTTATAAAAAAGATAGTTTTGGTTTCTTAAAGCATTATAAAGATATATCATTTTGAAATTTATACAAAAAAAAAATCCTTATTTGGACTCAAATTCTCTTTCATAGGTTTTTTAGCTATAGTTTAGGTGTAAATAATTTAAATTTTAGTCGAAGAAACTGACTAAAAATTGGTACCTGACCATTTTTGAAGATGCTGAATCCAAAGAAGAAAAAAAAAACCTAATTTAAAATGTTAGATAACTGTTTGTTTTTTTTAAAAAAAAAAAGGTAAAAAAGCACATTACAATAAAAAGAGGTAAGGTTTTCACAAGTTTCCTGATCACAAGACTTTCATGGATTTAGTTGTGATGTGTAAAAAGAGTTTATTGAGGTAGGTTATTATATATAAATAATGTTTTGTGAAGTGAATTGTCATTTAAAAAAATAGTTTTACAATGCCTGCTGTGATGTATAAATATAGATTTGTGATGTCAAATATGTTGTGTAAATATAGTTTGGAAAAACCAGTAACCATAAACTTAAAATTATTTTAATTTTAGATTAAATAATTAGAGAATTTAGTAATTCAGTTTCTTAGTCATGGAAAACAGACAACAGTGCTCTGTTTAGCTCCATTGGAATCAAGCTAGGAAGTGAATGTCATTTTGCAACATATACATCGTTGCTTGGAATCGAAACTTTTGAAGAGATTCCTGAGAATGAAAGAGAAATATTAATGTGGAGGACTGGGCTCAATAATCAATGTAAAACCAACAACTTGTCTACATCATAACCATATTTATTTGAAGCGTTATGGAACTAAATTAACACGGTGCTGCAATCCATTTAATACTCATAACAAAGTTATAAAAGGTATTTATAGTAATCACAACTTTTATTTTGTGAAAATGTTGTGAGTTACAAAAATGAAATTCTTTGCAGCCAAAATATTTTAGCTATATTTAGCCTTACTTTTAGCTGACTTCTAAAAGTGCACTCTGAAATGCCATACAAATTTAAGTTTAAAATAGTTTTATTACAAATTTTATACATATTAAAAGAGTTCTACCCTTTTTTAGGCAGTCTTCGTGAAATCAACTTGGATTCAGCAAAGTACTTATGCGGTAAAGGCAAGTTCGTAGTGCCAGGTGAAAAATTTTGTCCACAATGCAGACATAAATTAGCATCTAGTGAAGAATCAGAAGAGAACGAGTTGAAGATAAAATTAACTGAAGATAATATGAAAAAAAAAAACTATACTGGAATCAACAAGATTATTGCTCAACAGTACTTTGTGTGAACTTGAAGTGTCTCCACTAAATTTCTTTACTTAAAGATAAATCAAGTTGAAGAAGCAGTTATTAAGAAACTTGCAACTGCTCTGGATGTCATCGAACCCGATCTTGTTGCACCTAACCACTATGAAGTTCTAAAAGAAGTTGAAACCAAAGCTGGCGATCTAGATTTCCATGTTGAATGCATGAAAGAAAAACTTTAAGTTTCTAACAGAAGGCAGCAATTTCAAATTTTGACATTGACACCGAAATCTTGGTCAATCAGAAAAGCAGCAAAAGAGTTTTCAGTTTCCAAACACAAAAATCAAAATACAAAGCTTTTACGTGACCAAAAAAGCGTTATTGCATACCCCAACATGGTTGAACGGCATCGAATCAGTAAAGATGTCATAGAACTTGTAAAGCTTTTTACTGTGTCGATGAGTATTCAAGGCAAATGCCAGGTAAAAAAGACTGTGTAAATGTTGGGAAATAAGATTACGTACCCAAACCATAAAATTTTCTAAATTTTGCAAAATTAGACCTAAATGGTGCATTCTTGCTGGTCCAAAAGGTACACATTCTGTTTGTGTGTGTACAATACGCCAAAATGTTAAATTAATGTTGAGTGCTGTAGACCTTGAAACATCTTACTATGAAAATATTGAAAAGATTGTCTGCAGCAGAAAATCAAAAGTTTGCCTAATTCACCGATGCAATAGTTGTCCTGGCATACAAGCTGCCAAAATTTATTTCCAGCAGTATCTCACACAAAATTATGATCCAAAAGAGCAATATGACAGTGACAAAAATGAACGGTCAGTGGATTTCAAACAGTGGACAACGACAGATAGAATTGAACTATTAACAATACAACTTCCATTAAATGAATTCATAGAGCTCCTGTGTGAGAAACTTGATAAAATTACTTCTCAATCATTTATAGCAAAATCACAATCTAACTATCTAAAGCATCTCAAAGAAACAATTAGTATTGATGAGGCTAATATACTGGCAGATTTTGCAGAGAATTACACTTTTGTAGTACAAGACGAGATACAGAGTTACCATTGGAGCAAGAGTCAATGTTCTCTTCAGTCAGCAGTCGTCTACTACAAGAAAGTAAAATTAGAAATATCTTCTTTTTGTGTAATTTCAGAAGATTTGAGTCGTAATGTTGGATTTATCAATGAAGTTATGCATAAAACCATTAATCATATAAAAACTCATCTTTGCCGCGCAAATACAAAAATTCATTATTTTTCTGATGGCTGTGCAGGGCAGTATAAAAACTGCAAACATTTTTACAATTTATGTCACCATGCTCCAAACATTTTTACAATTTATGTCACCTATTATACTGGCAGATTTTGCAGAGAATTACATTTTTGTAGTATAAGACGAGATACAGAGTTACCATTGGAGCAAGAGTCAATGTTCTCTTCAGTCAGCAGTCGTCTACTACAAGAAAGTGAAATTAGAAATATCTTCTTTTTGTGTAATTTTAGATGATTTGAGTCATAATGTTGGATTTATCAATGAAGTTATGCATAAAACCATTAATCATATAAAAACTCATCTTTGGCCCGCAATTACAAAAATTCATTATTTTTCAGATGGCTGTGCAGGGCAGTATAAAAACTGCAAACGTTTTTACAATTTATGTCACCATGCTCAAGATTTTTCTGTTCAGTGCATCTGGAATTTCTTTGCAGCAAGCCATGGCAAATCTCCATGAGATGGAATAGGTGGCACTGTTAAAAGGCTTGTTTCAACTGCTAGCTTGCAGAGTCCAACAACAGGTCAAATACTATTTTCTCAAGCAATGTTTGAATACTGCCAAAAATCAAACAGTGGGGTTACGTTTTTGTACGTCGCTTCCAAAGAAATGGAGCTAGTAAGAATCAAACTTGCTGATAGACTATTAATAGCAACCACTATTCCTAGGACAAGAAGTTTCCATCAATTTATACCTTCTTCTCATTCATTTATAAAAATGAAAAGGGTATCCGATGATGATGATTTTGCTCTAACATTTGACTTCCTCAATAAACAAAAATACGAAACTAATAAAATTGAGAATGTTATGATGCCACAATACCTATTTTGCAAATACGACAATTTTTACTGGCTTTAAATGGTCTCTGAAGTTGATAAAGAGAATGACGATTTTATGGTAAAGTTTATGCATCTAAATTATCCAAGTCGGTCGTACTACTGGCCAAAGCGGGATAATAATTGCTAGGTGCCAAGAATGAATGTCATTTCTCTTGTTAAAACACCGTCAACATCTTCTGGGCGTCAGTACCACATCACAAAAGAAGACGAAATTCATTTTGAACATCTTTTATCTGGTCAATGAAAGTTGATGAATATTTTACTTTCTTTATTTAAATTATATAAACTTCAATTTTAGTTATATTTGGTTTATTCCTTTTCCTTTTTATTTTTTAGCTTTTTTCAAAACAGCAGATTTTTTAATATTTTTCAAAACGGTTTGCATTTTAGTTTCTTATTTTTTAACACAACAATACCCTATTATTAGACATAAAGTAATAATGGTGCGTTAAACTATTATAATTAATAAATGAAGAAACTATATTTTCAATGTGTTGTATAGTAAATTACATTTCCATGTATACTTTTGAAATTATTGATTATAAATATGCAAGTTATGCAAAGCATTATAATTTTTTTATTTTCTTTTAGTAACCTAAACTTTTTTAAGACCTCTTATTTCAAAATAAGAGTAAGGCAACTCCAGAAATAAGGAAAGGTAAACCATAGTTGAGAAATAAAAAAATTTAACTGTTGATATTTTAAAATTGAAAAATTATTCTCAAATACTAGGAATAGGGTTCATTTATCTTTATCTTTGTATTCAATACCTTTAAAATTAATACGAATTTTCAGTCATATTTCTCCACTAGAACTTTAATTATTCACACAAAAAGTATCGCTATAAAGTTTATAATGGAGAATAGAAGCTAAAAAATGATTTTTTTTTGTCTAAATTTTAAAATGACATATCTTAACAATTCTTGAAGAAACCAAAACCATCTTTTTTATAACAATAGCCTAGTATCACCTACTTTGTTTGAAAAAAAAATTGAATCCACGAGACTTGGGCAACTCCCGGAGTTGATGAAAGCGCAACCCATGGTAACAGAACAAAAAGTTGGACTGACCATTTTAAAATCAAAAAGTAACCATCATAAAATTTAAATTTCACTGTTTGCTTTACATTTTTGAATTCAGCACCCTCAAAAATAGTCGGGCACTCATTTTTAGCCACACTCTTCCACTACATTTTAAACTATTCATTAAAAAGTACAACTACAAAATTCATAATGGCGGACTTGGCAAAAAAAAGGAACGTTTTGGGCTGAATTTCAAAACGTCATAACCTTTGAACCATTTGGATTTGGGAGCTCAAATTTTGCATTTTTTCATGTTTCATTATAATGTACCACCTGGTAAAATTTAAAGAAAATCCAAGAGGTGACTGAAATGACTGTCCCAGTTTTACATGGAATGACCCTACTACATAATAAAATACATTGTTGTACAGTCATTTTGATGGTTGTAAATTTGTTTAGCACACTCATTTTTAAATATTTTTAGACTGTTTACCGTTTGACTCCTGCCCCAATCTAACCTAGTGGGTTCAAAAAGAAGAGACCGCGCTGGAAACATAATTGGATTAAAAGGATCAGCTCTTTTTGAATTAATAGTCGCTAAGTATAATGTGCTCCACTCAGCTAATCAAGTCTCGTTTGCTTTTTTTTGAATTACATTTAAGCAACATACTGTTTTTTATGTTCACTCGTTTTTAGAAGTGGTAACCAGCTAGAAGTCGTAACCTGCTCGTATGAAAGGATTTCTCGACGTGAAATTGTTAATTTTATTCAACAACGACAAGAAACAGAGCTAGCTCAAGAAACAGAAAAGAAAGAGAAAGATGAAAAAATATTCTGTGGAACAATACTATTGTTTTATTTATAAATTATTCTCCTATATTTAAACATATAAAAGATGTAGAAAATGCTTCCTCTTCTTTATTGACATCTAAAAGAGGTATTTTCTCGGCATCGGAAAAAGCTTTTTGTCATACTTTGTATGAAGAGAAAAGAAAAAATACTTTTTTAGATTTGCATATTCGACTAAAAAAAAACGTCTTAAAGGCGCATTTTTTATGTCTTTTTATGACAAGATGAAGATAACAAAAGAGTCTTTTCGATGTCAAAAAACATGTCATTTAGATTTGCATATTTGACTAAAAAAAAGCGTCTTAAAGACGCATTTTTTATGTCTTTTTATGACAAAATTAAGATAAAAAAAGACGTCCTTTCGATGTCAAAAAAAGATGTCTTTTAGATTTGCATAATCGATTTGAAAAAGACGTCTTAAAGACATCGTAAATAAAACTTTTAAAGACGTCTTTTTAACGTCTTTTTCCCCACTGGGTTCTAGTTAGAGTTATGTAACAAAACAATTGCAAAAGTATTGAACTCATTCATTAAACAAAGGAAATTTTAAAAAACTGGTAAAACTCTTCCTAAGTGATTTTTCATAACATTTATAAATTATCAAATCAAAAAAAGTTTTTCCGCAAGACCAAGAGCAACTTTGAAAAATTATTTTAGTATTACAACTTTTTAATACTTCTTTGAGTCGTTTAAATAAGAAACTCTTTGGTTTGTCGAAATTTTTACCTACACTCCTTACGTTTATGCGCATTACCTTATTTTCATTAGGTTGAATTTTTAAATTGCTGCAAAATATTTACATTTAAAACTTTTGAAAACGAAAAGCTGTTATTACAGTTTGGGAGAGGGATTCGTGTAAATGTGACAGGAGAGAAGGGGTTTAAAGTTGATAAATATATGGTGACGCACTTCATGGATGACCCATTATAGCATTTATAAGCGATTTGTTTTACTAAAACAAAAACAAGAGAAATAGGAGAATAGCAAGTGAATCTTAATGATCTTAATGACTTTTAATGACTAAACACAAATATTTATATAATTCCTATTTTTATTTATTTATGTGTGTTTAAGTTAAATAAAAAATGGATACATAAACAATTAAAAAATCAATAATATAAAATAATTTTAATTAACATTGAAAAAAAAATAAGATTTTTTTCTAAATTCTCCTAATATAAAAAGTTCCAGTTAGAACCTCGTCAACGAATTAATAATTACTTAATGACGTAATTCATTTTGTTAACGAAAAAGCGCGGAAACTTGAGTAAATATTTGTAATTTAACTTACGTAACACAAATTTAAAAAGAAAATGTGCTATAATTAAGCATCGTTATTCAAAATTTTGAATGCAAAAACGTTACATTTAATATACTTTCGCACATATTAAAAAAACTTAAGTTTTTCAAATAAATTTTACAAAAAATAAAACTTTATCATGTTTTTGTTAACTTGCGTTACATGAAAATTGCAAAAGTTCATGCATTATTTTCTTAAAATATA